AGTATATACATGTATATACTATACGAGAGGAACCGAAGCTATAGTATATATATATATATATATATATACTATAGCTTCGGTTATATGTATATATACTATATGAGAGGAACCGAGGCGGGGGAGCGAGCAATACTCTGATTTTGAAAGTGAATAAAAGTGAAGTGCTAGAAGTTATAATCACTGTGCATTGTGGTCGAAAACGGAAAACACAGAGAGCGTTTGTGATGCAGGAAAAAAACACGCATCACTAGAAACATTCTGAACTCAGGTGCTGTAAGTCGCCCGACTGCCGATTTAAGATAATGCGGTACACGCCTTTCTCTTCACGTGAACCTTTGTTGAGGCCTGTTGGCTTCGCGTCGAAATTTGGGCCGATCGACAGTTTTGACATCGATGCCAACGACTTATCATTTGTGCAGTACTATTTGCTCGGCATAATCATTCCTTTGCTCCTTCTGATTGCTCCCATCGCTTCCCTATCACTTCGGTTACTCATTATTGTTGTACGCAGGGTGCTGAATTCAAAGGTAAAAAGCGAATAGAAAATAGCTTAGAGAAGGAAAGAGAGCGTACAAGCAACGCCAGGGCTGTCAGAGTGAGTTGCTGAATTTAAGCTTTGAAGATGAGTTAGTTAGGTTTCTTATTAGTTCACTGATCGAAATCAACATTGTTTCAGCACTTAACTCGTTCTTGTACTGATTGTATTTTGTCCAGAAAATTTTCAGTTTTTGCTTCAAAACAGGTAAACCAAACGAAAATTGTCCTTCATTTCACATCTTCTCTCGTTCCTGCTGCAAATAGTGGTTCCTTTCAAGTAAGATGTGACGAGGAGATAATCGATTCTAAGCTTGAAGCTTCAGCTTCTGCCTTTCGTCTCCTTGAAATTTTAACTTTGGTGTAAAGCACAGACTGATTTAATAAGAAAAAATAAGCGCAAATAACAATTATTTTTGCATATGTGAAAAGCGATTCTACTGGAGTTCCTGCAGATCTTCAAGAGTGTTTTCTGGATCCGCTGTCGACATGCCAGATGTATTTCCGTCCGTTGCTGAATCTTCAATTGTTGACGGTGCTTCTTCAGCTATCGTTGAATGCTAAAAACGCAGCAAAAATTTGCACAACTTCGACAAAGTTTGCATAAATTTCAATGAAATGTCTTCCAAAACTCATGATTTACGTACTGTTGGCAGAAAAAAAACATGTTTCGGATTGAAAAAGGGGAATGAAAAAGAAAACATTATTTTCTGCCTGAGGCACTTAGCTTTCATGAATGAGGGAGAAAGGCTTAATTTTCTCAAAAACATTTTTATGAGTTTTGGGCTGTGTGATAGCAGCACAAAAGGCACATTGCCATGCCTTCGTGTGTGTGTGTGTGTGTGTGTGTGTGTGTATGTGTATGTGTGTGCTTCTTATGCACCACTTTCAACTCGTGAACCACGAAATTTATGAGGCCGAAATTTTCGTAAAATGTCCTCTACACTCGTGCGATTCACAAATTCAGTCTTTCAGAGCCTGGGTACCGCCGCGAAAGCCTGTGAAAGTTTTAAATTATTATTGCGGGAACCAAAAAAAACCAAGAGGCTGAGATTTTTGAGAATGTTTCGCAAATTTAAAGGATCCCACAAATTTAAATTTAGCCGTCAGTGGCGCTTGGATATCACCTACGGCAGGAAAAAATATCCCAGGAGTCAGAAAAACTGAGAGGTTGAAATTTCAAGAGGATGATTTCTGCCTATTCTAGGGCCTCACAAACTCAAGTTTAGTTTCCAAGAATGCAGAAGTCCCAGGCACAGCCAGGTGAAAGTTTTGACACGAAAGTCGCTCGAAAGCCAGAAAAATGGGAGGTTGAAATTTTGGAAGGATGTTTCCCGTTTAAGGTTTTAAATTCAGCTTTTACGTGCCTTTGTTTCACGCACCGTCACATGGAATTTTTGGCGGGAAATTTTGCAGCTTAGAAACCGGACAGCATATCGACTTTTTCTGCACATACCAAAGTGTAAAATAATGAAAATTCATAGCAAGCAAGCGCCCGCTGGACGGAACTCCCCAAAACGCATGGTCGTACCGACTGTACTGGCGTGTACCGTTATTTATTTAGCAATTGTGCACTGAATTACCGGATTTGAACCGTCAACTTTTTCTACCGCATACCTATACCTACATAAATAGAGTTTACATGTACGCATACATGAAATATATGTTCGTATAAAAATACGCATACATATGTATATATATACATATATAAATATATATATAAACATATATATATATATGAATATATATATACATACGAATAAACAAGTAGAACAAACAAACAAATATGTATGTACGAGCACGCAAGTAGGCTTTTGTCAGCACACGTTTCCACAAACAATATTGGCGGAAGCAAAAAAATATGAAAGAAATAGCAATGAGGAAGAAGAACCGAGTCTTTTTCCACTTTCTCATCCGGATTTTTGTTCCTTCGAGGCACTATTTTGTTTTGGCCTGTTTTATTGTAATATCGTCCACCTTTTTCCCAATCGAATGGTGCATCCTCTGTGGCTCTGTAAAAGGCACGTTCTTAAATTTCGTTTCACTATCGGACAGTAACTTGTTATAAGAACTGCAGAAAGCTGCCTTATTGCTAACGCTTTTTTTTAGAAACATAGTGGCGCATTGAAACATATGGTTTGACAGACTTTACCGTTACATGCCAAAGCGATTCCGATGAATGAAAAAAGTGCTACAAACCAATTCCAGAATGTTATATTTCAGCCCGTTTTAATTTAATTCTCAGGTCGGAACCAGCAACACACGGGATTTGTCAAGGAAAAGCATTTTTTAGTAAAAGGAAAACAAAATAGTGTCAGGAATATTTTAACTCATAACCCAAGCGCTGAGTTCAAACTCCACATAATTTTGCTATTTTGATAAATACTGTAGATGCTACATTGCAGCAAAAGCTGCATGAAGGTCTAAGAAGTAGCAATTTTTAGCTTTAAAATACAATTTTTGAGGAATATTGAGAAATCCATCAGATTTCCGTGCGCACAGCAGAATTCATGAAGACTTGCAAGGTGTGCTATGTGAGCATTCAGAGATTTCAGAACATTTTAATTTAGGCCCGGAACATATTGTGTAACACGGCTATAATATTATTCCGTTTGTGCGAAATTATTTTTGTCGGTTATGCACAACATGCATAGCCCATCACAGTAAAAACTAATTCATTTGCCATGATATACAGAAGAATTAGCATTGAACTGGACCTGTAGTAACTGATGCTTCTGACACTGAGCGCTATTTAGAAATGCTGTCGCCCGGCTAGGGACTACTCCGCGCAAATTGAGGTATGAGTAACTTATTTATTTAATATACAGTACTTTTTCTCTCGCAGTGCTTCATCGAGTTTATCCTTGATCAGTTCATAATTAGGCACATCCTTGTATTCAAGCCCTTTCAAATATGTATAAAGTGTTGTGAAACATGCTGGACAATGCTAAAAACAAGCAAATTTCAGAGGATTAAAACCAGTTAAAAGGAGAACAAGTAATCTTGCAAGCGAACATTTGATAACGTCCCGCAGCAAATGTTAAAAACAAAGCTACTTCGGAATGCCCTTCTTACACAGAAGCGAATGTGGAGATAGTTTTGATTTTGGTAATGCAGTTATGCTGGTTTATCATGCTTCTAGCATCGTGCTTGCAGTTGCATCAACGCATCTCTCTGTGTGCGCTCGCGCTAAATGTGGATGCGCTTCCCAAGTGGAGACCTTCAGTCATGTACTAGCATCCCAAATAACTTGTTTTGCAGCGGAATATCGAATGAAAGAAACATTGAAAAGTCTTTTATCGGGTATGCTCCGCTTCACGTTGGCGCAGTCACGTCGATTCAATCCTCGCCATGGCAACTCCCCAGTAATTAACTCAACAACTGTATAAAGCAGCGAAATCAGATCGTCATGCCGACCCTGCTCCTTGTTATCGTGAACATTCACCGAACAATAACGTACCGTACCTCGAAAAGTTACCTGAAACCAGCACGGTACCAGTAAGCAGTGGGGGCTGTAAACCTCACAGTTATACGGCGCTTTTCCCTCGCAGTGCTGAAAGCAACCTTCTTTCTCGGTTCGCGAAGTTTCAGCTCATTTGTTCCTTGCACAGGCAATAAGATTTGTCGCGCTAAACCAAAGTCAAACAGAAATAATCGTCGTCGTGTTGTCTGTGTTGAACCGAGAGAAAAATTAAGCGGTTTCACATCGCGGTGTATGAATCCAATGAGATGCAAGTCCTTCAGGGCCTGAAATCCAGTTACGATAGTTTTTTCAAGACGGCTTGCCAAACATCCGGGAGAAAAAGATGCTTTCCCAGTTAAAGACCTTCAACGGGAATTTTTCTCTAATTGAGCTCACTTTTAATGCGTTTTGCTTGTAAAAGCGATGCAAAACGTAAAGCAATGTGTGTATGTGCGTGTGTAACGTGTATGTATAAGTCTGCAAATGTTTGGATATCTATCCGGGTTTTTCAACTCAACAAATCAGAGAAGCTTTATGATTCTGTAAGGATTTTCCCGCCTGCGTCGGGCATCACCAGATTAAAATCATCCTTCACGTAGCTTACGTCTCACGTTTGCACACATGAAAGTTATGGCGGGAAGTGTTTGGAAATCAGAGAACGAAATTTTAGAAAGATGTTCCCAGTAAATGTGATGTAGTGAAATTTCTTAATAGCAGGTGTTCTCTATGTTACGAAAAAAGCATGATAGCATATTATGCACTTTGCCTAATGCTTATACGAGCAATTTGATTTCACTAGTTGATTTTTTGGTTCCTTGACTAGGCTTCATATTGTTTCAGTATAATTTTGGCTTCGAACTCACTTTTGCAACGTTTAAAATGGACAGTCTTTATGCTTTTTGAAAACAAGAGTCTACACAACAAATTCCTCTTCTTCCGCACTTTCGTCCTATCCCAAGTTTTCTTGATACTCTACTGCAGTATTCATCAGTCGAACAAAAAAGGAAAAGCGAGTTCAGGGGACATGTTTTTTTTT